CATTCAACATTTATTTATTTCATAATGTGACAAGTACCTGTATTATTTGTAGAAAGCAGAACTGGATCAAGGACTTGTCCAAGAAGTTGTCTGAGAAGTAGCCGTCTACTCTCAGTTTGTCAAAAAGGTCCATCCAAAACTGGACAGACTCACTTTGCAAGGTCAGCCACCATCGTTCAATACGCTGGTTTCCAGTGCTTGGACCAAAGGTTACATTGTCTGTTTCAGCTTGGTTCTCAGAAAAATGCAAAAACTGCTGCATTTCAGCCATATGGCCATTTTCTGTTCCTAAATCAAGTCTGAGTCTGGCAGGGCACCCACCCGCATTGATAACAGCATCAATAAAGTAGCCAGCGATGATCTTCGGGTCTTTGTTTGTTTTTTAAGCTTCAAGCCATATCATCTTTCTGGAAAATCCGTCAATGCATCCACTGATTGCAATTCCAAATGGCTTAAGCTTTTCGTAACCATCAATGTGCCATACATAGTTTGGACCACAGCTGTGGTAGATGCGCCTTCGCAGTCTGTTTCTTGACCTCAGATCAACACCTTCACCATCCAATAACTGTAGCAGTATTCACACTGTTTCTCTGTCAGTCAATCCATCTGTAACCATGACACTGACCAGATGTTTCCAGTTGCTGTTCAATGAAGTTTGCCACCTCAGCCACAGCGGTTTTATTCTTTCGACGCCAGAGCTGCTTCTTGCTTAAAACCCTTTCAAGGGTGCGTTTGCTTAGTACAACTCCATGTGAACCAGCAAGCAAATTAAGTATTTCATCTGTTGTAAATCCACGTTTAAAGTAGTCCTCAATGTACTCACAATCCATTTCCGTGTCAAGATAAATAGGAGAACTCGAGCAAAGAGCTGCTAGTTTGTCTGTTGTGACAAAGTATCTCATAATGACTTTTTATCTCATTATTTCGACTTTCCTATCTCATAATTATGACTTTTTATCTCATTATTATGACTTTTTATCTCAATATTTCGACTTTTTTATCTCATAATTATGACTTTTTATGGGGATTTTTTTTCTAAGTGGCGGCAATGGGCTTCCATAATTGCTGACACATGTTCACAATAAAATTATCTATATACTGCAGGCAAAATTAACCGATAGAAAACATAACAGCGACTTTGACATTGGAACTAGCAAATAAGAAGAAATAAGAAATACTCAAAACGTTTAATAGCAGATTTATTACCATCCAAATATACTTACAATGCAAAAAGAAAGAAAAAAAGTAATCATTCACAATATTGATATGAAATTGATATAATGCCAAGCCCTACACCTGGCTGGTTGTAGGACTGAAGCCATCTTTGGTGTTGCTGCTTGTTTAATCCTTGCACCAGTACAATGGAGACTCAGACCACTGAGCAATATTTAATCTGAATGGAGTTGCATTGACATGAGTCATGACCCATTTCCTGTTGGAGGTTTTCCTGCCAACTGTGTCATAACACAAATGTTCTGGGCAGCAGGAATGTTGAAACCATCCAAACAATACTATAAAACAAGGACAAACCAATTAAACTGAAATGCACTACTCAAAAGCAAATCTACTGCAAATGATGCATATTATCCCATGAAAGGACTCAGTCTTTTTTCTGTGTTTGTTTTCTATACTATGATATTTTCCTACAGTTAGATGTTAAACGTCATAATATATGTTGACGGTGTTGTAATAAATCGTTTTTACCAATACACAATCGTCATAGTAGTATTAGCAGTAGTAGTTCTGTGCTGTGCCTTGTTCTGCATAAGGCTGTTTATTACAGCACATGGTTTTGAAATAATCTCCCGGATAATATAATTATCGGAGTTTTTTTGCGATATGATTACATTAGCCGGGACGCCAAATCTGGCAAATGCCAAGGGCCCCTTCCCTGCTTGCTATCCCCTTACTTCCAGTGCCCTTGTTCCGACCACGCCCATCTTCGCACTCAAATACATACATGTGTTGGTCCTTGGTACTTTAGTATTAATCGTACTGAGTAGTGGTGGTATCAGCTGCTGTTTTGCTACAGTTAGGTTTTTGTTTCAGTTTAGTTTTGCTGTTTTATGTTTAGGATTTTAGTGCCTAAACTACTGTTTGCTCGTTTGGACCAACTGGATAATTGTTTCTTCTGCTTCATACTCATTTGTTGTTTCTTTGCCCCTTGTAGTGGAGTTGGAGCAAGCTAGTGGTGGAGGCTATAGTCTGATTCCCTTCACGGCTTGTAGTGGTAGGAGCACTGGGACACAGTTTGTAGTGAGTTTTGATTTGCAGTGAGTTTTGATTTGCAGTCAGCACCGGTGGTGGGTAAGTGGGACACAGCCCTGTTAGACTGCCTCCCCCTGGCTGGCATCTGCCCACTACCCTTTTCCCCTCATTGATTTTTAGTAATTTTCTATATAAAGTGTTTTACCAAGAATAAACAAATACATGTGATTGACATATTGAAATAAACTGTTAAACTTTTTCATTATAATTGAACCACGTCTCTGTCTTGTGTCAGTCACAAACTTGTAGAGCCTTCTTAGTTCTGAGGTGTAAATTAAATATCTCCTGGGGCAAAATTCCCCAGGTGGCGTTGTCAGGCATTTTGGTAATTGGGTGGCTCTGCCTAATAAAAACGACCACCCCGCCACATTTTGTAAAAAAAACGAATATCTATAAAATAAAAACATGAGCTTAAGCTAACTTTACTTAAAACACTGAGCCCCAGCCTTATCAGTAAGCTACATACAATAATTATAGCTACATTTGTATCATAGACCTACTTGGGTTATATTGATCATACATGTACTGTGTTCATCCATATGTTGTGTTGCCTACAGCTGAGGTGATGCTGAATAAACCGCAAAAAAAGCTCAATAATTGTAGCCAGCAAGGTAACGCCAATTTATGTGTGCATACAACTAATGTTTGTCACTTTATTCTTCAGTATAAAAAAAGAACTCAAGATTAGCACTAGTTGATTAAAAAAACGTTTGAAACTTCCCCATTTTTTTTACCACATTGTAAAAGACTGAAATTGCAATAGAAAAATAAAAACTTGTTCTACTTTTTTTTTTATATATAATAATGAGGAATTAATGTACAATACAATTTATTGAGCACTTTGAATATAAAGTGCTAAAACCATAGCAATACAGTATTTCTGGCCACATTTTACAGACTCAGATTAATTGCACCCATATCAGGTGAAAGATCAAGTCTATACTGGTACATGCTATTTACTGTATTGAAAGTCTTAATAGATCAGCAAGCTGGTATTTAATTCTTCCTCAAATTTGAGTGTAAACCAGCCTTTTAGTGTGTACGAGTTGAGGGAAATGTTCAAGCTACATAATCCCATTCATCTTTAATTAATAGGGGCTGGGGCTGCTGCCCTCCCGCACCGTCTGAGAGATGAAAAGCTGTTGATGATGTTCTGTCAGGTGTAATGATGCACACTAAGTGAAGTTGTGTGGGTAATAACCATAGACTGTACTACTGTAGACTGTAGACTGTAACCCTAAGGTGCAAAGCACACAAAGCTAATATTCGTTACATGTTCGTGTGTGTGTTTGTGCGTGAGTTTGCATGTGTGTGTGTGAGTTTGTGTGAGTTTGCATGTGTTTACGTGTGTTTGCCTGTGCATGAATGTTAAGACGTGATTGCATGAAAGGTAATAGACAGTGTATGGATCAAAGCAACAGGCAGGTGGATCAGTGAGGGTGATTTGCTTGTTTTAGCATAAATTAAATACATATTTTCAAAACAATGATGATTTAATTTCAATGAAGGGCAACACAGATAACAGTGATACCATTTATAGTTAAGGTGTCTGAATAATTCCATGAAGTATGGAATGTAAAAGATCTTACACTGAAAAAACATGTTTGTTCATAAAACATTCACTTAACTTATTAGCTGTATAGTAATGGAATTACTGTAAGTATTCCTCTTTTGGTAGAGTGAGGGGTACTAGTGATGCAGGGGCAGTAAACGTGGTATGTAGTAATGAGTTATTAGCAGTAGAAGTAGATGTCTGGTACTTCCACTTCTACTGCTCTTCTACTACGCCTCTCCTGTTGGTCACATGTAGCTTTCTGTCCTGCTAGTAAGGTGTGTGTGTGTGTGTGTGTGTGTGTGTGTGTGTGTGTGTGTGTGTGTGTGTGTGTGTGTGTGTGTGTGTGTTTCACTGCAGGCCTTTACTCTGAACCTATGACCCAGATATATTTCAACGCAGTTATGTAACTCTGATCTCTCTCTCTCTCTCTCTCTCTCTCTCTCACTCTCACTCTCACTCTCACTCTTACTCTCTCTCTCTCTCTCACACACACACACACACACACACACACACACACACACTCTCACACACACACACACACACATATATATTTCAACGCAGTTATGTAACTCTGATCTCTCTCTCTCTCACAAACAAACACACACAAACACACACAGCCAGTTAGACTCTAGTCTAAAATGAACCTCTGTCAGTGAGTGCATGTGTGGGTTCTACAATGATGGGTTTAATTGGGTCTGAATCAACAATTTAAGCAGCACATCATTTAATTTTAAATAAAAAAACAGAGGGATTAGAGCAAGCTAGTTTCATGGGATCTAATCTCTCTAATTATTTAATTATATAAAACTTTGATAGAACAGGAACACCAAGAGATTATAACCATGCATGCAGCTCTCTGAGGATGTAGCTACTGTCTCAGTACAGCTTGAGCTAAATGCGTCACCACTAACGTTGCTGTCACCAAGCCCGCCTTAACCTGCCACCAGGCCCTGTTTTGTAGGCCCCCTATTTAAACAACAAATCAAAGTCATTTACAGTATAGCCTCGGCAGGCTCCCCTCCACGTAGCAAGTCCTCGTCGTCCTCGTCGTCCTCTCCATCTCCTCCTCTCCCTCCTGTCTGTTTTTCCTCTCCCGCTACTCCATCGCTATCAGAACCAGACGGCCTACTTGGCTCCGAGGCCCCACGGCCGGCACCGCTACCGCTCGTTACAGAACTCATCTTTACTTCCTCCTCATCCTGGCCTACAGGTTTAAAATAACCTGTAAGCTTCAGCATTTTTTGTAATAGCTGCTTGTCTCGAAACTACTTTTCCCTCAACAATTTCCTTTTCCGAGCGCCACTCTCAAACTTTTTCTCCTAAACAACCTTCATCTGTCACTCAATCACTCGCAATTTGAATAAGTCACATGTGAAACATATTCTTATTCTGATTGGTTGTTAAGTGGTGCCCACTGACTGTTAATGAGTCATCATTTTTGAGAAAAATCTCTTGAATCCATCGATCTGATTGATTAGCGGAGCAAATGATCAAAATACTACGGAGGGAAGATATTTTCGTTTGGATTACTGGTCTGGGGGTAGCTCACGGGTGTGTGTGTATACATGTGTGTGTTTGTGTATTTTTGCGTTTGTGTGTATTGTGTTTGTTTCCCGGGGAAAACACTCACGAGACTCGTGAGTGTTTTCCCCGGGAAACAAACACAATACACACAAACGCAAAAATACACAAACACACACATGTATACACACACACCCGTGAGCTACCCCCAGNTCCAAGTTATTTGTATTTATCCTTGAAATAAAGGCATTTTCGGCGTTATCTACATTTGGGTCCTGCTTCTTTCACGAACCGTAACAATAAATACAGCTTTGAAGCTTGTAACGGCATAATTACAAGCGGAAAACGGAGTAATTTAAAGTCACAATACACACAAACGCAAAAAATACACAAACACACACACGTATAC